CCTTCAGATGTATTATGCAGAAAAGGATAGGAGTTTAAGGTATTTTAAGACCATTGAGAATATTGTTCCTGCCCCCTGATATTTATTATTTTGCTGCTTTGTAAACCATTACATACCCTTCTTTGAACTTCAACATTTGTACTTTTCTATTTTATTGTCTTAACCATATTTCTCTGTGCTACCTTGGGGGCCTTTTGAAAATAAAAATGGCATACAAACGTAGACTTCATCCTAAACTAATTTAGCTGATGAAAGGATTCTCTGTGTGTTTGTTTTGGGTTGAGAGAATACATACCAAATACATAGCCCTTGAACTTGCCAGGTTTTAGTTCTGCCAGGTTAAGATGGTAGCTGTTTTTTGAGCTGGGCTGAAATATCATAGAAAATAATTCTTTTGCTCTCCCCTCCAAGAATTATTTTTTAAACTCATACGTGAATTGCCGTAGAATTTTAGCCCCACCATGCTCCCATCCCCAGTTTTGTTACCTGTGATTATTGTTTAATATTGTTACAGGAAGCAATGGGCTTGAACTGTACTACTTTCCAGCCACCCCATTGTATGCTTCATCCACCATCATAAAGTAAAAATAGTTACTTTCTGTATTAACCAATCTGTTTAAAAACAATAATTTTCCTGCCCATCCCACAAAAAATTCTCTCCTACTCCAGCCCAGAAAACTGTTGAGAGAAGACTGCCTTCTCTCTGGAGAATATTCAGCGAAACGGTGGATAATGGAAACTGTTTTTGTTTAGCTCTAGACCTTTTCTTTTACCATGTATAACAGAGCCTACCCTGATATTCCCGGTTTGGGTTCTGAGAGTATCCATGTGCAGATGCCAAATTTTACAGCTAAATACAGTAATAGGAATTTGGAAGAGAAGAGCGGAAGCATGGAGATAGGTACTGCATGTTGATGATAAAAAGGTTGTCATTGAGGATTGTTGTGGCTTTGCCTAAAGACTAAAATAATGAGAAAGTGTACTTATCTTGTAGGTCAGTTGTGATCCTCACACTCTGCTTAAGTTCTAGCAATGGGGCTGGACTGGGCTGGTTTCAAAAGCTTTAGATCTCAGGGTTGTTGACATTTTCCTATGGCATACAAATGGAACATTGGGGCTTCCATAATCTGCTCATGCCTTAGAGTGATTTTCTTGTAAGGCTATTCAATTAAATAAAAGGAAAGCTATTTCTAAGAGCAGAACACGCTACATTTCTCAAGATTGCCCTCAAAAAGCCATGGTAATGTCAGAGCTTTTAGGAATATTAATGTTTGATAAGTAACATCAAGATAGAGTAGTTGTGAAAGAGGCAGAAATAGCCTTTAGCCAGAGCAGAGGTTTTGCTTCAAACCTCTGTCTGACTCAGGAGTCCATGCACAGATCTGTACGTGTGGCTGGGATGGAGAGCACACATCGGTGATCTGCATTGTAGTCTGCAACACCTGGTGGAGTGAAGCAAAAGCAGCACAGTGCGTTGATACCAAAGTGCTTGCAAAGCAGACAGCTCTAAATTATTCAGGCAAGTGAACATTGCTCCAAGCAGAGGCAAGTAATATACTCTGCATAGTTCAACTCTGCATAGTTACTATCCTCTGGCCCTTTGGGAGAATTCCTTCCTGAACACCACTCTGCTCCCTGTCAGTGATGGTACTCTGAGCAGGCCAGCTTGAATAAAATATTGGTGGGTGGGGGGGCAGCTAAGCCCCGCCCCACATAACTGATCACATGACACTGCACACACACACCATTTCAATGGCAATGCCCATCAACTTTGTGGAGGACTGGCCCCCTCAAATATTTTAGGGGGTGCAAAGGGACCTTGGGCCCTAGGAGTTGGCTCTTATGAGCCTGTGACAAAGTCTGTCCACTGAGAGTCACCCCTAACTTTACTGGGCACATGTTTCCAACAACATCCAGTTAGGCAGGGTGTGGGAATAAGTACTTGATCTCAGAAGATCATAGCAGTGAAGAGAAAGATTAAAATCTGTAAAGAACCTAGCAAGATCCCCAAATCCTATCACTATATCAGTGTAGTTCTTTGCTCCCATTCTATTCTGTTCTAAAACGTTATTTCTCTAATAAGAGTGAAGCCTTCAGGCTTTCAGCTTGAAAAAATAAGGACAATTTTTTTATAGCTAGTAGTCTTTTAATTTAAATACCTTCCTCCTATTATATCTTGTCTCCATTGTTATTTTATTACAGTCATCGTGTCACCATTTAAATTTAAGTAGATCAAATTCTCTTATTCTGTATTCATTGTAGAATTCTCATTTGTTTAGATGGCCTACATTGTCTTGTGGCTTTTTGCCTTTTCAAAAGGATGGCTCCCTAGCTAATAACATGTACTGTTATGCTTTGAATGTATTGGTTTTGAGCTCATCCTGTTTGTTCTACACAGCAATTCTCCATATCTCTGTTACCCGCAGGGTTTTCCAGCATGCTCCTCCTTTCTATCCAAGATTGCTAATGAAAAGAGAATTAAAATAATAATTCCAAGATCAATCCATAAGCACGACCTTCTGGTTCTGAGTAGAAAGTTTAAATTGATGTGTTGTCCATCTTACAGTTCCTATGTTAATATCTATTTGTAGAGAATTTACATCTAAGGTAAACCAAGTGGGGTGCATTTCCTGGTCCACCCAGCAGAGGGCCACAGGCAAACACCCAAAGCAGTGATTGGTGTAAGCCTGTAAGCCTTCAAGCCATGGTTCTTTGCCCCATGCTGAACTTTCATCTATCCAGTCTGCTCCCTGTTGGGAAAAGAGACAAAGAAACAGCATGGACATACCTGACAATGCTTGGAGCATTTCCACCTCAACAAGGGGGCACCAGAGGACACATTTTTCCAAGGTTCCCCTTAAACTTGGAGCTGCAAGAAGCAGCCCGTGGGGGGGGGATTTCAAATGCCTCCCCCACAGCTGCAATTCTTGGTTTTAGCACTGCATAGTAGAGGATCCACAGCTTGGGTCACATTTTAGTGACCCAAGTGCAGGACCCAAGAGACCAGGCATTTGATTATATACTCAGGGCCGTATTAAGCATATCCGGCGCCATGGCGCTAAGATCCCTCTGGTGCCCCCCCCCCGGCAACTCCAAAACAAGGGAGGGGGCAGTGGAAAATGTCCTCTCCTTCCCCCACTGCCCTGATCCCCGGCGTGGTGGCAGCGATCAAGCAGGAAATCTTGCTGGTAGACATGCTCTCTGGCACCAGGGCACCTAGGAAGGCTGCGCCTTTTGCCAGGAAATAGGAGGACGACAACGACCGGGAGCAGGGCCGTCTTTAGCAGATGCAGAGGCTTGGGAGGGAAGTTGCACACCCGCCAGCCATATAGTTGGCGGGGTGCAGCTGGCGAGCGTGCAGGGAAAGGGGAGGCTGCTGGCAAAGCCACTCAGCTCCCCCACTTGCTAGGGTGCCCCTGAGAGACCGGCGTCCTGGCGCAACAAACCACTAACACCAATGGGAAAGACGGCTCTGTATATACTAACAACATTGTGAAAGTAGATTATGAAAACTGAAAGGCTGGTAGTTAACCTGTGATATCAGCTTTAATGTTTTTTCTTTTTTTTAAAAAAAAGGACGCTTAAGGGGTTACATACTTAGTTGAAAGACAATAATGGGAGGAGGAATGTGTAGATTCCCCTTATGTGTAGGGAGAGTGTACATCAGAAGGAGCCTGGTTTTTGTTTTTTAATGTAAACAAATAGAAGAAAGAAGGTTCTTTAGTAACAACCCTAATTTATCCTTTCACGAAACAACCTGATTTTGTAAACAGGTTTTGAACATTCAGCGTGAGATCCTTTGCCTAGCTTGAGGAGAGAATTGCTCTAATGTGAACTGACGATCAACAAGGGGTTTATCCTTATTATCTCTAGTGTTGTTTCATGAGTTTTGCACTGTCTCTTAATGAGCACTAAAGGTTTAGATGAGTTTGCCTGTGATGGCTCGCAGGGGGGAGATTGTGAATAAACCTCTCCTGTAATTTCTATTTTATTTTATATTTATTTTTCTGTTGCTTTCCTGTTCATCCCCTGCTGTGCTGTCACTGTGATGTGATGCACATGATACTGGTGTACTATGTGATGAAAACCAATGTATACCAACAGTGGCTGATGTTTAGACTTCTCAATAACCTTCAGTCTAAGCAGGGTTTGGGGTCATTATTAGGCATGAATTTGGAGGGAAGATACACGGTCATTGGAAGTGGTGGCAGATGTTTTCCCCTGAATCAAGGGCATGAAGAAAACGTTAAATGTCTGGTCATTTAAAAATGGATCAAAACTAGCAGACAGTCAATAACTTGTATCAAATTTGTACAGATCAGTTTTTGTAATTTTACATTTTAATATTCCAGTCTAAACAGTTTTTGTTGTAGTTTTGTCCCCACGCTTTAAGGCTTGAGATCCCAGTTACTTACAGGTTAAACTCAATTACTTCTCATCAGATCTCTGTTGCACACATTGCCCATTTAACTCACGGTGTCAAATTATAATCTATGCTTGGTAGCCGAACATTCTGTGTTTGTGTTTTACTCAGGGTGTGATGTGATAGACACACAGAGTTCATTAGGACTAAGATCATTAGACTTTGCTAGTTATCTATTCTGCTTTTTTGGAGAAAACCATCAACCTAGAAAGGAGTAAGTGAAATCCATTGTGGTATAATGGATTGAGTGCCAGAACAGGACCTCTTGAAACCTTATGCTTGTATTCGTCTATCTTATGATGCTCCTGCAAGCCTGTAGCCCTATTTGGGTGTTAGTAGTTCATGAAATTACCAGTGTGTGAGGGAAGAACAGGGGTGTGCCAGACTGCCCTGTCCCTGCTGCTGTATCTACTGAGGCCACCTCTGCCCCAGCTGCCAGGGTTCTAAATCATATAGGGAGCCTATACATGTGTAGCAGGCCCCCAACTCCAGACCTTCCCAACAAGACCTTCCCCAGTACAATAATGCATCAACAGCATTCTTAACTGGCATCTCTTTCTCTCTCTCTTTTAAATAGTTACATTGCAAACCAACGGAAATTAGAAAGCATAAATGAAAGTGATGTCAGAAGCTACGTTGGATTAAGAAATTTGTGAGTATATCATTTTTCATGTTTATTATTATAAACCATGTGTCTTTGCCCATTGTTGCATATGCTCTGTAGGGGCTTGGGCAGAGTTCCTGCATATTTGGGCATCCCTGCTTATTTTAATGAAAAGAACAACTTTGCAAATGAAAAAGAATATATGTCCTCTCCATTGCACTTTGAAGCTCTCACATGCACCGTGGACTGTTTAATAAGGGCAGTAGTGTTTAATAATCTTTAGAATCACCATACTATGTGCCTTCCCCAAATGTGTGCCCTCCTGATATTTTGAACTACAATGCCCGTTATTTCTGAGCATTGGCCATGTGAGCCTGTTGAGAGTTGTAGTCCAAAACATCTGGAAGGGACCAGGTTGGCCATGGCTGCGTTAGACGTGCTGTCGTTACTGAACCAATATAAATAATCATGAAGTACCTTGAGCTATTAATGTAAAAGATAAAGGACCCCTGGATGGTTAAGTCCAGTCAAAGGTGACTATGGGGTCCACTCAAAGGTGACTATGGGGTGTGGCACTCATCTTACTTCAGGCCGATGGACCTGGCATTTGTACACAGACAGGTTTCCAGGTAATGTGGCCAGCATGACTAAACCGCTTTTGGTGCAACGGAACATCGTGATGGAAACCAGAGTGCACGGAAACACCGGTTACCCTCCTGCCACAGTGGTACCTATTTATCTACTTGCACTGGTATGCTTTCAAGTTGCTAGGTTGGCAGAAGCATGAACTATTATGCAGCATTAAAAGGGTTAAAGATCACTTGACAATTCTAACTTGCATTTGTGTTTTTTGTCAGAACTGTGGTGAATTCAGGTTTGAAGTTTGTCTCAACCAAAGCTTTCCTGAAAAATCCCAGCCTGCATTACATGTAAGTAAAAACTCACTTAATGGTTCCAGAACATGCAAAGCTTTATCATACATCATTACCTTATTTGCAATCCATGTGAAGAAAATTAGATGGATGCTATTTAAAAATAGCAAGCTGTGACCTGCCCCAAAGTATTGCAGTGAATCATTGGTGCTTCAAGGCTCCTGATCAGGGTTCACACCAACCTGGAACAAACATTTTTTGTGGCTTGCAGAGGTGTTCACGTGTGTGTGTAGATTTCAGGAGAGGGAAAAGAAATCAACATATTTCTCATCCCCTCAAAGCCTTTCTTGGCTGTTCTAAATGACAGGTTTGGGGCTGATTGCCAGCCTTATCACTACGTAGCAAAGTGGGTGTGTCTGAAAAAAGTAATGGAAAAATATGCTATTTTCATTTTCCTTCTTCTTGAAACCTCTCTGCATTGTGAGAAGTGGAAAGTTTTTTACCTTAATCCTGACCCTAATCTGTCCTGTTATGGGTTCAAGAAGGCTAATCCATGGCTCTCCCCTTTACTTTATTATTTATCCTCTAACACCTTTGAAAGCATCAAGCATTGTTGAACCATTTTAGCACTACCTTAATTTCCTTTTTCATTAATGCACTACTTATATTTTTCTGCATGCAGAAAGCACTATATTGTTTGTGGTTGGCCCTGTTTTGCCACCATACCATACTGATGGCAGTGGATTGTTCAAGTTCACAACCGTGATTGGGCTCATCCCTGAAAGGGAGGGTGAAACGGATTATAGAGATGAGGTGGAGTGGCTGACAGAGTGGTGCAGAGCTAACAACTTGCTCATAAATACAAGGAAGACAAAGGAGCTTGTGGTGGACTTCAGGAGACAGAAGAGCAATGTCCAGCCACTTTTGATTGATGGGGTCTGTGTGGAGAGGGTAACAACGTTCAGATTTTTGGGCATTGAATTACAAGAGGATCTGTCCTGGAGTGTCAACACAAGGGGGCTTGTGAAGAAGGCGCAGCAGAGACTGTACCTTTTGAGAATTCTAAGGAAAAACCATCTTCCGCAAAAACTGCTGCTTGCCTTCTATCACTGTGCCATTGAGAGCGTGCTCACTTATGGCTTATGCGTGTGGTACAGAAAAGTAGTGTGGCCCTCAGACTGAAAGAGGTTTCCCATCCTTGTGTTAAGCAAAAAAGAAAAAAAGGGGGGAGGAGCAAAAGCTTTTGAAGTCCTCGTGACCACACTGGAGGAAGAGTGGGGAGGAGGCTTGCTGTGGACTGTTCTAGTCAATTGGAATAATCATTTACAACAGCCTTCCTCAGCCTGGGTTGATCAGGTGATGTTGGACTCCCATAATCTCAGGCAATTAACCATTCGATCTGGGAATGATGGGAGGTGTGGACCAACAATGGCTGAGGAACCCAGGTTGGGCAAGACTGGTTTTGCGTGGCATTCAGACAGAGTCATTATTCATTTTCATATTAAGCTGAAAACAACCCAAAACAACCCCACCACCACCACTGTATATCCTTGAGTCTCATTAACATTGGTGGCAAAAATCCAAGTGATTTCATAGGGAGTAATGTTTGCTTTTTCTACTGAAGTTTAAATCATCAGAGTGACAGCATACATTTATGCATTTCGCTGTTTCTTGTCTTATAACAATTGGGGCATATCTAGGATTTGGAAACCACTTTTGTTTTTGTTTTTTTGGCAGACGTTTTAATGAAGATTGATATAACTGCATGAACTTTCCAACTAAGAAAACTATTTTGGCTTTAATTATGTCACAGGAGGAGCCTTTCAACTCCTTTTAAAATCCCTTTTTTAAAATAAACTCATTCCCAACAGTATTTCATGTGAAAATACTAATGATAGCAGCGAGCACTTAAAGCAACTGCAGTAACGTCAGATGCTAAAGAATACATTTTGTCCCCTCCCCAGATGAAATTTGTGTAGCCAAAATGCTTTCCTTTAGCTTGGTTATTTGAAATCAGTAATAATGTAAACAAAGGAAAATAAACATTCCAGTAGATATTGCTTAAATGTAACTTACAGCATCATTGACTCAGTTCTGGCATTCTCACTGACTTTAAATTTCAAAACAATAACACTTAACAAGCCATTGAACAGCACTGTTTTAGCAAAGCCACCTGTTTGTAAATTCAGCAGTCAAAATCATTAATGACTTGTTATCATGCTGTATGAACAGTCACTGTGTATTTAAGTGCCTGAAGAAGTATTGTACGGTATGTGCTCTTCAAAACTTTGGGGCATTGATGCTCAGTGCATGCAAGTATATGCTAGGGACATTGAAGGGATTCAGTTCATTCTGTATTTTAAAATGAACCAACCAAATTCACATTTTCCAGATCATGAATTGCAAACACTGCTGTGAGGGAGAACATTTTCCAGTGATTTATTTTCTGTTTTGTATGTTCATTAGTAACAATGAATGGCTGCTCGTTGCAAATAAATATTGGGCAAGTTTGGAAGTTTCAGATTTTTGAGCTTTGTTTACTAAATATGAGTAAATATACTAAGTTGGTTACTTTGGGTTGTTTTGCTCTTTTCTAAATTTTGCAATAAATTTTTTCAGCTCACAAACATGCCAAATGTGTAAAAAAAAATGCATGTTCTACTGTAAAAATCGCCCCCAAATGCATATGCTTAAAGTCCTTTTTAAAAGAATGCAATCAACTTTTCATTTAATGTTACTCCAGCTGTGTAATAACTGACGTGCTATAGCCTGGCAGATTTCTCAGCTACATAAAATGGTGAAAAGTAGCACAAGTAGGAACAGTGTAAAATGAAGTCTTGCTTGACTTCCTTGCCGAAAGAATCAGGGCTTGCCTAATACACTTATTAAAGCTGCCCATTATAATAAGGTAGGCAAACACCTAATTCACCCTCAACTATGGGTGAGGAACCTGTGACCATCTGGTTGTTGATAGACCCCCAACTCCATTCAGCCCCAGTGCATGTGGCCAGTAGTCAAGAATGACGAGAATTGTAAACTAGTGTGATGTAGTGGTTAGAGTGTCGGACTAAGACTTGAGAAACCAGGGTTCGAATCCCCACTCAGCCATGAAGCTCATTGGGTCAGGTACTGCCTCTCAGCCTAACCTACCTCATGGAGTTGTTGTGGGGATTAATTAAGGAAGAGGAGAACCATGTATACTACAAATGGCTTAGCATGTAACACTGGGTGCAGCTCCTAGTTCAATGCAGTTCATTACAAGTAGAATTGAAAGCACCTGATCTTCACTCAGGCAGAAGGCAGAGAGAGGAAGCGAGAGTACATGGTCCTGCGGCTCATAGCTATTGTACTACCAACTTTACTGTATGCTTGTGAAACATGGACCACTTACAAACGCCATCTGCAACTTCTTGAAAGATTCCATCAACGGTGTCTCCGAGAAATCTTACACATCACTTGGGAAGACGGGCGAACTAATATCAGTGTACTGGATGAAGCAAAGCTCACCAGTGTTGAAGCAATGATTCTTCAACATCAACTTCGTTGGACTGGTCATGTTGTACGGATTCCTGATTATCATCTTCCAAAGCGGCTACTCTATTCCAAACTTAAAAATGGAAAGCGTAATACTGGTGGTCAACAAAAGAGGTTTAAAGACTGTCTCAAGGCAAATCTTTAAAATGTAGTATAAACAGCGACAACTGGGAAACACTGGCCTGCAAGCGCTCCAGTTGGAGAACAGCCTTTACCAAAGGTGTCATGGACTTTGAAGACATTCAAACTCAGGACGCAAGGGAGAAACGTGCTAAGAGGAAGGCATGCTTGGCAAATCCACACTATGATCAACTCCAACCCGGGAACCAATGTCCTCACTGTGGAAGGACGTGTGGGTCCAAAATTGGCCTCCACAGTCACTTACGGACTCATTGTTAAAACTGTGGAAGACAATCTTACTCTGCTACGAGTGATCACCAAAGAAGAAGAAGAAGAAGAAGAAGAAGAAGAAGAAGAAGAAGAAGATAATACAAAAATATACCGTAGTTCAGCATTGTAAACCAGACCAATACAGTGGTACCTCGGGTTACAGATGCTTCAGGTTACAGACTCCGCAAACCCAGAAATAGTTCCTCGGGTTAAGAACTTTGCTTCAGGATGAGAACAGAAATTGCGCAGCGGCTAAAGTGGTACCTCAGGTTAAGAACAGTTTCAGTTTAAGAACGGACCTCCGGAACAAATTAAGTTTTTAACCCGAGGCACCACTGTATCTCCTTAGGACTATTCCAAGATTTTTTCTTCACTGCCCTAGGTGGATTTGATTCCCCCATCTTGTGTCCTAAGCAGCATATTAATAGCACTTTAATGATCAGGAGTTGACTATGCTACTACGACTATTTTTTGTTTTAATTTTTGATGACAGTGCCTTCCTTACTTCCTCTCTTTGGAGTGCTTCAGCTTCAGGTGCTGTGCAGTGTATCTTCATATCCCGTACTTCAGCTAGATGTGCACTCAACTGGGATGGAGGTTGTGGGGAGGCAAAACTGGCAATTCATGGCAGCTTCTACACTTGTTCCCAGCCCTAAAAAAAGGGTCCAGGTCTGCAGAGAATTGTAGTCTGAATGGGAACATAGATGACAGGAACCACTACAGCATCTACTAAGCATCTCCCTTGCTCACTGGGAACATTTTATTTTATTTTTCCTCCTTTGTCTCTTCTTCAGTGAAGGTGTGCCCACCCCCACAGCACAGATGACCATGTGAACATAATCTAGAGCAAAATTGCCTCTGATCTTCAATCTAGTAGAAGACATTAAAGCTCATTATAGTATGACGCCCTGAATGCTTAATTGACGTGAAAGGCCTAATGGCTGTATTTTGCCATTTTCCCTGTGATCTTTCATGCAGTTTCAAAAGGATATATAAAAAGCTTATGAAACTTCTTATTTGGCATGTGGTCAGGGTTTAGGTAAGTACAGTTTTCAATGAAGGATCAAAGAATACATGGTAAACATGTATATTGCTTATGAATAAGTTGAGCATGTAGTCAACATCTGAGAATGTCTTTGGAGTAAAACTTAATCCACATTTTTCCTCTACATGAATAGACCTGTTTAAAGGTGCACATCATGATGAGTGTTTGCCTTTGTGTTGTGTCTCATCTTCAAGTTAAAGTACAGTCCGTATCGTTTTATAGGCCATCGCCCAATAAAAAAACCTGAAAGTTGGTAGCTTTACAATATTGCAATATTTTTGTTTCAGATGGTTTTTTACTTTTAATAATGACATTCTGTTTCTTTACAGTAACTTATCTGGAAACAAGTTCTCAAGTTTGTCCAGAAAGTCTTTCCGCCACCTGAATTTGACTGATCTGTAAGTAATTGTTTTGTTTTGTTTCTTAAATGTTGAGGGTTGGTTGTTGTAATAGTTACCATTATCATCGCCATCCAGCCCAAGCCTACTTCACAGGGTTCTTGAGAGGATAAAATGGAGAGTGTTGAAAGCTTGTGTGCTGTCTTGGAACTCCTTGAAGGGAAGGTGAGATATAAATAAAATAATAAATAAATAAAAATAACCATTATCCAGTTTTTAATGGACATGGAATATATCAAGGAAATACTTGTGGGTTTAAGAAAAGGTAAATTTTACTTTGCACAGGCCTAAAGACATTTGTGTGCTCTGGTGAATCAGATGGGTTGGTCACTACCACATGTTGTGTCTCCATACTCCACAAGCCGTTACTGGGAATGTTTGGGGACTGTGGTGGTAAAGAATATGGGACAGATACATGTGATGAGCACAATACAGACAAACCACTCACTTCATCCCATGGAGACAATTTAAAGAGGCTTCCATGCAATCACTGAAAATGACTCCTAGGCTAGAACTCTTTAACAGGGGCTCTTCTCTCTTCCCCCTCAAACCACAGAATCCACACTGCAGATCAATTTACTTTTGAAACACTAGAGAATTGCAGTGGCAGTAAACTGTGCACTATGGGAAGCCCTTGAGCAAGCCTAGCATCACCTGACCCCTTGACCTGATGAGAATTACTGAGCCCTTGGTGAAGCAGCAGACTTAATTGCTTCACCTAATTAAAGTTTTTGAGTTACTGGGGCAGTATCACAAAACTTGTAAAAGTGGACCAAGTGATGCTTGAGCTGTGCTTATGAAGAAGCAGTCAGTAGGTAACATACCATGGTCATGGGAATTCACATCCTGTCACTCTAAAACGTTTCTGTGTGAATTGGATCTTTTTGTTCTTTCGTCTTTGTCCTGCTCTTTTGGAACTTTCTTCACATCTTTATTGCACTTGTCTTTCTGGTGAAGTTGTACAGTAAAAGAAAATTTTGTTGTTTTAATCAGTTGATAGAGAAGAAGTAAACTAGGACTATCTGGAGGATTTAAAAACTAGATTTGTGTTTGATTTTATTTCCTGCTGCTTCTTAAACTTGTCTGAAGGCACATTATCTTACCTGGACTCGTTGTGTTGAAACCAGTCTTAATTCTACTCAGAGGAAACCTATTGAAATTAAATGGACATGTGTAACTCTTAGGTTCATTCATTTCAGAGGGTCTGCTATGAGTAGAATTTAGATGGATTCAGCTCATTAGCTGTAATACCAGTAAATATATATTTTAAAATATTTGTTACATATTCCTTTTTAGGGAAGCCATATCATTTACTGGTTTTAGAAGTTCCCAAGGAGATCCTAATCTCAGTTAGGTCCCATGTTATGTGCAGGTATGGAAATTTGATAGACAACTATGGCCTTGGAAAGCAATGTGATTACAGTTCAAGAGGCAGCATTAGTTTGCATATTTTTGTAATGTAGTAGTCATCAAGCAGCTGGATGAGAAAGATGATTGTTTGAGGAAATAGAGTGACCATGTTTGGTCGATTATATCTCGGTAAGATGAGATATGAAGAAGCCTCTTGAATGTGTGAGCAACTCCTTTGCTCCATTGAGTATTTTCGCTAATCCAACCTCTATAGTAAAGCTTGTACTATTCAGTTGAATGTGATACTTTTTTTGTCAGCTCATATTAATGTACATTGCTTGCATAAACAGCCTAATGATGGCATTTTATAATTCTCCTTTTGATCTTTCATCTGGGTGCACATAGACTCTCAAAAGTTTAAAGAACTTGTGCTAGCACTGGCCAGGATTTAAGTGAGTTCACTTTTCAACTTGTGATTAAAAGAAGGCGTAGGAGCACCCACTTTGCTCATGGCTAAATTGAGCATGTAATTGAGACTATAAAAGTTGGCTTGATAGTGGAATCTGCCTCATCTATCTGTAGGTGCCAGGTGGGGCATCGAGTTACGAAACTTGATTCTTCTGTGCAATGAAAGTGAGATATGAAATTATTCTTACTGAGGAAAATAATCCAATCTCCTGTTCTGACTGTCCTTTGACTTCTCTGCAATCAAACAAACACTTTGTTTTAGATGTCATGGTAGACATGAGTTGAGAGAGGTTTTAAAAGGCCATAGCTTTAAGTACATTTTAAGAGATTGAATTTGTTGATTATAAGGTATTTGGATGCTATAACAATAAGTCAGTCTAATAAAGTAGAGATTTGAGGGGAGATGGGAAGTTATTGGTATAACAAGGGTAGAGAACCCTATTATAAAATGTAACAATAAATGGGTAGCAATAATCTGAAAGAAATATTACTGTGAAAAGCGAAGGGACAATGTACCACATTTGATGTTTACTGAGCAAAGGGCAGGGAGCTGATCCATAGCTGCCAACGTTTCCCTTTTTTAAAAGGGAAATTCCTTATTCTGAATAGGATTCCTTGCAAGAAAAGGGAAACGCTGACAGCTGTGAGCTGATCATTAAGATTTAGGAGCTGGGTAAGTCTGGGTTGTGCTGCTAAAATGTGCTGCTATATCGAAGACAGAGGAAATGTTTCTGAATGGCCCACTAAATCTCCAAGGGGAGCTAGTTTATAATCTCACAAGCACAGCCTTGTAAACAAAGGTTACTAGCCTGCATTTTTCTTTTACTAGCCTGTTGTGGCTGGCAGAGGGGTGAGAGAGCTCTGTCCCTCCTGCAGTAGCATTTACATTTCTTTGCATGGATGATGTAGCTTCTCCCCTCTTGCAGCATGCTTGGTTTCTTTGTTGGCCACAGAGGAAGGATGGAGTCTTCCATCACCCTTCTGCTGGCCTGTTTATGCGCCTGCATGCAATTCCATGTGTTTACCTAAATGGAACCAGCGGAATAGTGTTTAAAAGGCTAGGCCAGTAAGTACAGTGGGGATTTAAAGACTTTAAAGTTATAAGAAATTCAGATAAAAATTAAAATAAACATGAAGCCACGAATCAGCATAAAATAAGTATTCTTGGAATAGGGAGGGGCGACAAACCCCTAATCTACTATGCATATACTTTCATCTCTGGGTCCACCTGATTTCCTGCTGGGTATAAATTAAGTACTGTATTATGGAAGTGTGATGATGATTATTAAGTAGTTGCCAAGTCCTTCTTTCGGTGTCTCCTCCAATACAGTGGTACCTCGGGTTACAGACGCTTCAGGTTATGCGATTTCGTGTTGCGCACTGTGCCGAACCAAGAAGTACCAGAATGGGTTCCTTCCAGGTTTCGGCGCATGTGCAGAAGCACCAAATTGCGACCCACATGTGCACAGACGCGGTGCTGCGGGTTGCGAACGCTGCGGGGTGCGAACGTGCCTCCTGCACGGATCACGTTCGCAACCCGAGGTTCTACTGTACTCCTGGATTAGACCTGGGCAAAGCTTTAGTTTGGCAGTGTGGCAGTGTCATGACAGGAAAGTGTGAATGCTATCTTGAGGTTGAGGGACTTTGGCACCTACTGAGTTGCCTGAGTGCAGATAACGGTTGCAGTTAGGCTGTTGAGAGGCTGACCCATGGATACTTTTTCCTTTTGTATTTGCTAGCTAAAGGCTACTATCCATATGCATGGCTAATTAACATGTACTCTGTGTAGCTGTAAACCCAGATTTGCCACCAACAGTTTAGCAAGCTGGTGGAGATACACTTGCCAAGGAATCAGAATTGGCTGCAACTTCTTGTCTAGTGGTTAGTTGGTGACAAATTGATAGATTTATGTTCCGAAGCCACTGTTTACATTTCAAGGGAAGCCTCACTTTCTGCCAGTGGAAAATTTCAATGAAATCTAAAGCTCCAGAGAGACATTTTTTGTTAGGACCATGGCAGGCAGAGAGACAGAGGGAAAGAGATTGAAACTTCCTCTCCCTCCCCATCTCTAGTCCCGAGGCTCTTTGGGCTTCACTTCTCACTCCTATTCACATAACAAAAATAAAAACAAACCATGTATGTAAATTTTACTCAGTTTATCTCTCAGATGCCAGAAATTCAGCATTCCATTTTATGAGAGAGGGGACACTGGGAAGACCAGACCATCTCCCAGCCTTCTCCACTGCCCCATGTTAAAGGAGAATTAAGGTGGGACGTGAGTCTGTTTGATACAGTTGTCTCTCTTTATTGCAAATCCCATCCTCTCCCTCTGTACTGTCTCCCACGCACCCCTGGAAGAAATCCATTGCTGACCCAAACCACAAGGTTTGTAGGAGTGGGGTCTTAACTTTTCCAGTCTGTTAGCGAGAATTTGTCAAATCTGTAGAACAGTCTGTTTTGATCGGAATTATCTACTTTGGCTTGGGTCCAGTCCAAATCAAGAGCTTTGGAAACATCTGAACTGTTATGAACATTCTGCTGAGATTGCATTGGCAAAAAGGATTTTGAAGATCGTGGTCAAATCAAATATAACTCCTGTAGATTATTATAATTAGTGCTGGTTTGTTTCTTCTTTTAATGAAATGTCTTTGGCGGCTCAAGCGGCACATAAAAAATTATCCTCATGAAACATAGGTATGCTTTTATGAGCAAAGTTGAGATAATGTTCCGTTCCCGAGCCAGACATCTGGATGTTCTGTGTTGTGTTTCTCTCCAGCATCTTTGCACTTAGCACTGATTTGTGGCTTTCATGTGTGTTTTAATTATAATAGTTCTGCAAAGCTTTCATTTGAATTCCTCAATATGTGCTTACATGCTTAGAGTATGCAGTAAAGCTTTTGTTTGTTATTACTCTTTGATATTAGTTAAACACTTTTTGCGTCATTGCCTAGAGATCTACAGATTATTTCTTTTTAGAATAATTGCATCACTGACTTTGAATACATTTCTTTGGTGCTTCAATATAAAGGGAGCTAACTTTACCCTGGAATATGAAAAACATTTTAAAATTTATTTTCTCCAGAAATATTACTGGAAATCAGATACGGTTCATATTCCTGGTCCATAATATTTTTGTTGAAATATATAGAATTGCTCAATAGGTTGATTCTGTGCTTAGCACAGCTCAAACTAATGGTAGAACGCTACTGAAGTCAGTGGAATCACATCTCTTTCCTCCAGTTCAAGACCTGGTCCTTGGGCTGAAACATTTAGTCTATTCATCAGTTGGATTAATAGGTTAGAAAACATTTGATTTAAAAATGTGTCCTTAATTAATTGGGAGTTTTAGAAAATTGCCAAGTTTTTTTTTAAGATACATGTATGTATAAATAAATAAATATGTATGATATTGACAGTATCAAGTGCCATGTTAGAAGTATTCCTTTCAACTCTCACATACATCTGTGAATGCCTGCTACAAGACTTGCATGAATATTGTCTTATTCATATACAGATTGTATTGATTAATAGATTGAAATGTATGGGCTTATGCACAATGCACATAGGTCCTATTTCACACCCTTGCGTTTAGGTATGTTAAAGATGGAGCAATCATGGCAGGTGGGAGTGGGGAAGAGCTATGTTGATTGCTCTCCATCACGGAGCAGATCAAGAACAGGTAACATTCAGTCCAGCCTTAACGACTTCTTAATTAGGTGTCAGTCCTTCCTGGTCTCATATTAAACTTTCATTTGGAGCAACTTTTTTTTTAATGCATTTGTACTTACTGTTTTGTATATTATTAATTAGTTTTGGAAAAGAAAACCATATTTCCTGTCTTTTTAATCTTTGTAGGATTTTGGATGGCAATCCATTCAAGTGTAACTGTGACATTATGTGGATCAAGATATATCAAGAGACCAAGTTTCCAAAAACTCAGGATTTTTACTGTATGAATGACTTCAACCAGAACATATCTCTGAGGGAGAAGCCAGTCACAAACTGTGGTAATGCACTTTTAATGTAGAATGATTGGCATGTGTGTTTGATGTTGCTAAAGGTTTTGGAGCACAACCCATTAAGCACCTTCCCTGTCCAAACCCCATTTAATCAAACTTTTATTAGATCATTTCTTCATGGATTAGATTCTTGTTTATAATCCATGTGCTAGTCTGGTTTGTGAAAGATAAAAATCATACTTCAGGAGAATGTTTAAAGTTAAGTTGTGTATACTTGTTGCTTAATCAGTCTTAATTGTGTGCAAGATTTCTACTGGAAATGTGACTTTTGTCACTTTTTGGATTCACTTGTTAGAATGATTTTTTCAAGTGAAAGTCCTGTTTTGCCCGGTGAAGAGTGGATAAAACTTCCAAAGTTAGTCCATCTTTTCTGTGTTGCATTATGAGTACCTTGACAACTGTTGATATTCTGTTACACTGTGACTGTTTGTTAAGCTGAAACAGATAATTTCAGGTTGAATGAACCACAGAATTGTTCCTATTCTACATTTTTTTAAAATTTCAAAATGTGTCAGGCCACTTTTCAATATTTAGTCAGCAAGTTGCACTTGCTAAAAAGAGAACCAGTGGTCAGGGATGATGGGACCAGTGGATGATGAGAACCAGTGGTCAGGACCAGTGGTCAGGGATGATGGGAGTTGTAGTCCCAAAGCTCGCCAAGCAGTCCTGCCAGAACTGGTCCATGTGCTTTCAGCTGACAAACTAGGGACCTGAGCATCCTTTCCAGAGTCCTCCAGCTCTGAGTCAAGCAACATTTTAAAGGTTTATGCTTCTAATTTTTCTGCTTAAAAATACACACTTTGCATTAAAAGTAGGAATAAAGAAATAATTGGTTTAACCGAGAAACAGGAAGCATGTAATGTGTTGTTTTCAAGTTTAGGAACAAATGCATGGCCACTCGTTTTTCTTCCTGTTCTGTGGAAACAGACTGCTTTTGACTTGTTTTTCTGCTCAGATAATTCATCCCAAGAGATGAACACCCACTTCTTCTTTGACTTAGCTTTTTTAAAGCAACGTTGTTGTACATATTTATTTGATGTAATAATTAAATGAATTGTCATTGCTTCATTCTGAATTCCTGTGAACTTGCAAGAGGACAAACATTTTTTAAAAAAAAGGAATCAAGGATGTAGGAAGTGAAAGCCGTTTGTTCATTTATTTTGACAGATGTTCTACATTTTGTATGGTTATAATTTCCTCAATATATTGCAAATTTAGTATTGTACAGAAGGCAGTATAAGTGTTAGTAATGCAAGGCCTTACAGCAGTCAGCTGGTAATAAATTACTTGCTGGGAAATGAAGTGAGACTGTTGTGGTTTCTTGGTAAGGTTATTCATATTAGCAGAGCAGTGAAGCAAGAAATAGAAATCGTTGGTGGTACTGCCTGTACTCTCTTTTTATGGTTGAAATGGTCAAAGATTTGCTTTTAATGCTTAGCTGAAAAAAGCACATTAAGTGTGCAATGGAAGTTTATTTCTAACCCTGGTAAAATATTAACAAAGAGAACTATGAAGAGTGGGTCAGATTTGGCTTACTTTTCTCTCTTTTCTTAAGTATATTTCAGCTGGTTCTTAGACTGCTCACTGATGAACTGTAGGGGACTTTCCTTCTTTCCAGCTGTTAAGTTGCATTAAAATACTGTTTGTTTATGTTTGCTGCTAGCTTGCCATTTGTTGACTTCATTTGGAGGTGGTATATAAAATAATGTCATTTAGAGGGTATTGTTAAGTGTTTAGTTAGCAAACCAGGGTGTTTTTGTGTAGTTTATGATTATGTCATTAAAATAAGGAAAAATCTGTGTCACGGTAAATGTTCAAGCTCCTGAATAATTTTTGCTGTGAAGTATTGTATTTGTGTACCAGTTACATTCTGTTGGTTGTGGCCAATGTTAGTCCTACTCAGAGTAAACCCATTCAAATTTATGGGTGTGACTAACTTGGGTGGGATTTGGCTAACCACTCCATTGGGCGGGATTTGGCTAATCACTCCCACTAATGGACGGACCCAAACTGATGGCTTCAAACTACAGTGGTGCCCCGCAAGACGAATGCCTCGCAAGACGAAAAACTCGCTAGACGAAAGGGTTTTCCGTTTTTTTGAGTCGTTCCACAAGACGAATTTCCCTATGGGCTTGCGAGTTTGTTTCCTTTTTCTTAAAGCCGCTAAGCCGCTAATAGCCGTGCTTCACAAGACGAAAAAACCGCAGGACGAAGAGACTCGCGGAACGGATTAATTTCGTCTTGCGAGGCACCACTGTATAAGAAAGGAGATTCTGACTAAACATCAGGAAGAACTTTCTGATGGTAAGAGCTGTTCAACAGTGAAACTCCCTGGGGAGGTGGGTGGACTCGCTTTCATTGGAGATTTTAAGCAGACGTTGGATGCTCATCTGTCATGGATGGTTTAGTTGAGATTCCACGTTGCAGTGGGGTGGGCCTCAGGTTCCCTTCCAACTCCTCATTTCTAGGAATCTATGACTCACGCTAGCACAGTGGTACTTTCCCCTATTCCCCTCTCCCCTGTGTCCCTGGAAATTGGCTAGGGGAAGCAGGAAAACCGCAAAAAAACATGTCAGAGCAGGAAAGGGAAGGGGGTTGTTCCATCTGGTGAGCTGAAAAGCTTGCAGTGATAGAGCAGCTGTTGTAGTCCTGTGCTGAATTTTCCCCATTAATTCCAGTGGGTTTTCTGTGAGTACAGTGGTACCTTGGGTTACATACGCTTCAGGTTACATACACTCCAGGTTACAGACTCCGCTAACCCAGAAATATTACCTCGGGTTAAGAACTATGCTTCAGGATGAGAACAGAAATCGCGCTCCTGCGGCGCGGCAGCAGCAGGAGGCCCGATTAGCTAAAGTGGTGCTTCGGGTTAAAAACAGTTTCAGGTTAAGAACAGACCTCCAGAACGAATTAAGTTCTTAACCCGAGGTACCACTGTACTGTACAAGTTAGTTGGAGACAACCCGATATCTGCATCTTGGGACCAAACCAGACCTACGTGCTTGCCCATTTGGCTATAAAGTTAGTGTGTGGGGGAGTGTCAAAAATTTTATACCACATGGAATATGTGGGGGAAGGGAGAAAAGCCCCCCCTCCTGCCAGCTGACCTAATCTTCCTGTGCTCCTTTCCCCCCTTCCATTCCCCAGTTGGGAAAAATGGCTTTAAACAGTAGAATGTGGCAATATTAAGTTCTGTAGAGCTACACTCTGTTTAGCCTGAAACACTGCTTCCCCCAGTGACCTTATCATTATAACCAAGCAGACAAGTGCATGTTTAATAATCACATCTATGTCTGGCTTGGCTTTCAGTGTGATACCTTTGTTTGCCAAAACTTGCTTGTTCTTTTTAAGACTCCCTGGTTTGGCTAATCTGCTTTCTTCAGTCATGTTGCATTTGTTTGAGTTGCCCAGAAATGCCAACTAATTCAGAATTAGGCATCTGATTATGATTTTCTAGTGCTGATAAGAGTTGGACAATATGTGGCAAGTATTTGCAGATTGCTAAAATTCTGTGAGCACAAGAGAGACTTCTGCACTATGCTAGATGCTTCACTTGCTTTGAAAATGGAAGAAGGGATTCAGAATTCTCGAGGAATCTAGGGCTGTACTTCATAGATGCCTTTCCTTTCATTGGAAGACGTTGTCTGGTAGTCTCCATGGTTTCGTTCATGGAGTGTTAGGGTGTGGTTGCTCTTTTAACTGTTACCAAATGTGAAGTTAATTCCATTCACCTAATCAATTGTAAGGAATGTTCTTGTTTAAAACAATAGCAAAAGGATTCTGACAATTGTGGTGAAGTCATGATACTTGGCAAGGTTTAAAGTGGCTTCTTTTCCTACCCAAGTGTTACTTATGCTATAAAAATCCATTTAGTCTTCCAGGTAATGTGCTGATGCAAAAGTAGGTAATATATGTCTCACAGATCCCTAAAGGGCCTCGTCCCAACATCTTTGCATGGTTGGTGCTGTTCATTTGCTGTATAGTTGTAAATTGCAGGGATTTTTCTTGCAGGTTGTAATATTTCATTTGAAAGATCTTTTTGTGTATGTTAATTATTTTCTGAATAGTGGAGATATACAGGTTGTTTCTGGAAGCCTATTGACACCTGGGCTTTGTGTGTAGGGTAGAGAGTAGGGAAAAGTCTTGGGCTATTGAAAACTCCCCAACATGGGGCCATGTTTCTGTAACAGGAATTGTCTGTGATACACCTATGCACAATGCTCTTTATAGGTCACCTATATGTGGGACATGGGTGGCTCTATGGTCTAAACCACAGAGCCTAGGGCTTGCCGATCAGAATGTCGGCGGTTCAAATCCCTGCGATGGGGTGAGCTCCCGTTGCTCGGTCCCTGCTCCTGCCAACCTAGCAGTTCGAAAGCATGTCAGTGTGCAAGTAGATAAATAGGTACCGCTCCGGCGGGAAGGTAAATGGCGTTTCTGTGCGCTGCTCTGGTTTGCCAGAAGCAGCTTAGTCATGCTGGCCACATGACTCTCTGCGGACAAATGTCGGCTCCCTCGGCCTATAGAGCGAGATGAGCGTCGTAACCCCAGAGTCGTCCGCGACTGGACCTAATGGTCAGGGGACCCTTTACCTTTATATGTATTTCTTAAATTAACCCACCCCATGATTTTTATTTTGAAAAAATTAAAGAATAGCATATGCATGTGTTCAGGCCATGTGTGAACTGGTAGAGAGTTTTGTAGTTGTAGGTGTCTGTTAGCGCCTCATATTTGACACTGAACGAGGTGTTCATAAAACAAATGCAGGCTTCATTCTGTTGGTTATTGAATAAGTTCTGAAATGATTTCTTTGAAATTAGATTGAGCAGGATGAGGCCACCTTGTATATTTTTCCTGATACTGAGGGACGCTGCCTGTTGCTACTGAACAGTATCCGTGTGAGTGTAAATTCAGTCCTGTGTTACCTGCAAAGGACATAGCTGCTCCCTGCTTTAAGGTACCAAAGTGTGAACTTAGATCTAGTTTGT